CTGTTGTTTGTGCCCCTGCTTATGAACTACATGCATTTGTTAAATTATTTTTCTAGGCTGGGTTTTATTGCCTCACCGGCAAGCAACGAGCACGGATCATGGTAGGCCTCGAACATCCGACCTTTCGATTGAGAGGCGGAGACGTAATCACTTCACCAGCTTGCACAGCAACCAGCTATCTTTGTTTTTTTGAGGTTTTGATTTGTACTGATACTGATGGCCATATGGACAATTTTTACCAAGTTCATACAAAAAATAAATTTACACAAAAAAAAAATCAAACATCTCAAACCCGTTTTTCTCAACACTGAGAAAAAAAAATTTTCAGAATTTCACAATATCATTAAAATTACGACTTAAGGGTTTTCCACTCATTCCGCTGATTATTTGTGGTAGATGATTTTCCATGGAAATCACAAAAGAAACAAAGAAAAAAACTGAACCTCCTTCGAATTCAAAACTCCTCCCCATTTTCAATAGTCGGACCAAAACGAAAAGTAAATAAGTCCTAGCAAATTGCACACAAACCTCGATTGTTATCACACGAGCAATCTTACTAATAACTGACTGTTTACTTCATAAATCCCGGTTGATGATTTTCAGTGTTATTGACAAGTTCAGACAAGTTGGAAAATTGATTTAGAGAAATACACAAAAGAGTGCGTACCAAAAGAGCGCGTACAAAAATTAAAGTGTTCAATTAAGTGTTCATCGTTAGTTTTTAAATTGTTTCCAATTGATTTTGAAACTGGTACTAAAACTGGTACTCCTTTGGTACTAAAACGCGCTCTTGTGGTACACGGTCTTCTGGTACTTAAAAGTGCGCACTTTTGGTACTAAAACGCGCTCGTATGGTACGCGCTCTTTTGGTACTTAAATGTGCGCTTTTTTGGTACTCGCTCTTTTGTCGGTGCACCGAAGATTGCATGATTTGAATGTTTGTCAGACTCGTAGCCGCCTATCAAATCAATTTGTTTCTCTCAATTCCGGTACTTTCCTTATTTTTGTACTTTCCGGTACTTTCTTTATTTTTGGCTCAAGTTCTGAATATAACACTGTAACTCAAGTAGAGAGCTTCAAATTTGTTTAATAAAAAAAATTATATATTGGAAGGAAAACTATATATACCGAAAATACTTATCATACAATTCGATACATCAAGTGTATCCAAAAATGCTTGCCATACAAGTGTATCAAAAAATGCTTGAAAAAAGATGAGAACTAATTTCTGCGGCTGTTTGATTCTAATAAAACAGTCTGGTGATGAAAAAACCGAGGTTTTCGTTTTTTGAAAAAAAATCTTGTCATACAATTTTATTTGTGGAAATTGTATGACTAGCACTTTTTTGATGGCGACACAATAGTTTTTCCATTTAATTTTGAAATTGCCCCAACTTTTTTTCAACCGCAAATTTAGTTTTGTACTCAACCGAACATTTTCCCAAATTTTTTTAAAGCATTTTTTGTGCATAGCGAAATCCTGGATACACTAATATTGGTTTTTTTATTCTTTTCCGATAAAATCATGTTTTCCACTTTCATCCGTCCTGATGGTCGTCTCGGACGCCCGGGAGGAGTAAAGCGTCTTTCAAAGCGCAATTTTAGAGACCGATAGCCTAATATAGTCTATAGTTTTCAATGAACAGTAAAAAAAAATTCGTAAGGTTTCTACAGAAAACAAACGAGCTCTAACTAATGATTTATCTACATTTCTACCTCCAGTTGGATTGAACCATCAAGTTTAATTGCAGAGCGTGGAGAAAATGAAATTGGAAAATATTCACACCTTAGAAGCCTTAACGGTCAGTTGAGCACCTAACACACTGCAAGGCTCCCGTTACTTATTTTGATGACGACCAATGTAAACGAAACAGTAGGCTAGTCACAGGCTGGTCGGTCAGTAAAACGAAGTTTGCGAGAGAGAGAGAGAAGTGTCTTTTGAGGCGTACCAGGTGTTGAAATGGTCTTGCATCTGTTTTTGTTAAACACACATGCACGCAGTAAAAAAAACATTCCAGCAACATCGCCGCACCCTAGTGGCTTGCATGTAGCTGCAAGAGAATCTTCTACTCAACCGAGGTAACACTTTTAAGGGCCTATGAAGATATTCACACTTTTTTCTACCTCGTGGAGCAATCCTCGATTTTGCGTCCACACACACCCATCAGCAGTGACACGCATGGCCTTGAAGACCTTATGCAGCGTTAATTTTTGCTGAGATAGCATTCGGTCTTTTTTTGTCTTATGCAACTACAGATGCAGTCAATAAGCGTAACGCTATCCCCTTAGTGGCCCACGCCCGCCGAGCCAGACCTCAATTCGCGAAACCTTGTCTGGGACGTTGAAGCTGATATCTCCCGTGATTACTGTCGCGTGCTATACGTTAGAAGTGCTTTACAGAAGCTAGCGTCCGTCCCAGGCTCTCGAAAACCGCTGCAGAAGAGTTCGGCTGACCAGTTGTAAAACACGCTCCGGTACTCGCTCGTTGTGAGCCCCAGGATGTTCACACTGAATAAATGAAATTGTAAAACCTTTAGCTATACGCGTTAAACTTAAAAAAAATGACAGTCGAGTGGTTTACGGAAACGGCGCTTAGACAAAATAAGCTAAGCAAATGGGGCAGCAGACAGCTATGATCCCACTCGTATCAACAGTTGGTTAATTTTTGATAAATTAACTACGGATTTTTAAGGTCATGAGACATAAAACCGATTTAGTTTGGCCTCAAAAAAATTATTGGTTTTGTGCTACAAACCCGTTATGATGACACTCATGGCTGGTAATTTTTGTAGGTCAGCGAAAAATTTTAATGTCAAGTCATCTGCGTTTTTGTTCTACAAAATGTTGATTTCTTTTTATCCCTTTTCCCGACCGATAAAATTTGTTTATCAGCCGGTTCGTAGACGATATATGAGCAACCGACCCGATCTACAATACACTGACCGAGCAGTGTAGACAAAAATCAATATCTTCAGACTGCTAGTTTGTTCCGATTACTGGTTAAAAAGTCGATATTTGTCTGAAGAAGAAAAAACAAGGGTGTCCATAATTTCTGTCAAAAATCAGAACGACATCATCTTACTTACAAACATTTTTCCAATTGATTTTCCAATGAGAAGCTTTTTCAACTTTTTACTTTTTCAGTTTTTTAACTTCGGGGGTTCGTGTTAAAATTATCTTATAAGTCGGAAGTCAAATATAGACTTCTGTCAGCCTACAAAAAAATTATAAATTACGTTCTTTGATATGCATCAAAGAAAAAGCATACAAATTTTTTGTTTTCTTTTCCTGTGAAGACAGTGCTGCGTACATACCTTTTTTAATTAGAGCAATTTTCAATTGATAAAATTTTGTTTTTGTTTTCTATTTTGAGATTTAATTAGTTCTAAATTTTGGGGGCAAGCATCAATTATTTTTAAGCAACATATTATCTTTTGTCACAAGACGCCCATAACACGTTGAGTTAGTAAAGCTTAGTTTTGCTTTTATTTTTTTTCATGTTTTTTTTAGAATTCCAAAAACGAAATGAACTTTCCTGGTTGAAAATTTGCCAAATTCCATCAATTATTCAAACAAACACACTCTGGCCACCTGTTCAAAATGGCGTCAATTTATCAATCTTTGTTATTTATTTTTACTGACAAGGAAGGAAATACAATTCAGAGAATAAATAGGGAATTTAAGGAGAAAAAATTGTGAAAGTTACGATAAGTTACATCCGCCTTCTAACACTTTTACTTTGTTTGCTCATTAAACATAAGGCATTTGAATGCTTTTAAAACCATCGATTGTTTGAATTATTCAAGTTTGACATTTTCAGAAAGAAAAAAGACAGGAGTCAAGTTCATTTCAGCCAAATTAATTGCGAGTTTCTTTTGTCAAAAAAGTTAGTTTTTTTTCCAGGCTGTATTTTAGTCTAATTGTTGGTTTTGTTTCAACCACTGATATCATTTCATGCTTTGCCCTTTTTCAGATTTTAAAATGATAACTTACGATCGAAAATTGTATCTACCGAATTCGTTTCAATCCACTATACCACGGGAATACGGGTAAGATGGCAAATCAACCTTAGGTTATAATTTGATATATGGTAAGTAGGCAAATAGCTACTAGTCTTCTAGCTCATCTAGTATTTCACCGTCGTCATTTTGGGGCTAATCTGAGGTATTGTTTAATCAAGGGGCGGTCCATTTCTGACGGAGGCAATTATTGAGCCCAAGTAGTGAGCGAGCTGAAAACTAATTTAAGCCCTTCCGGTTTGTATGTCTACCAGAATAAATTAAATGCATAAATCAAGTAATATAGGAAGCAAACTTAAAGGCGCTATGTCAAATAGTATAACCATCAAAGTTTTCAATTTGCTATGTCAAATAGTACAGTCATCAAAGTTTTCAACATTCAAATAAACATCCTTATGTTGTGAAATTTTAAAGCGTTCTTCAAAAACCGTATTTTTCTGTTTTTTTTTTCACTAAATAGATTGTTCAATTCCATAATTTAGAGGGAATTTAATTTTTGATCTATCAAAACACACTTTTGTTGCGTTCAACAGTTCACTTTTATTTCATCAATTTTAGTCCAAAAGAAACTTTAAAATTAGCAAAATATAACCAAAAGTTTAGGATTTTGGTGAAAAAAGAAACGCGAATTACTGATATACATTTCTGATCGAATTTCGCAATTAATTATTGAAATTAAATAGGACCTATTTGCCTAACGTTTGGCGAAAAAATGCGTAGACACAAGTTGATGATTTTTTCATCCAAATGGTTTCTACTCCCAGTTGCCAATATTTTTTCTAATATCAAACCGATTTACCAAATCCTGATAAATGAACAAAAACTACTGATCCAAGGGATTTTTTTGTTCTTCATTCTATGGAGTCAATCGATATTAATGAAAAAAAAATTAAGCTGGTCGACCGAAATCAGATCATCGAATAACATTTAATTCTTTGGAAGATTTCGACTACAGATTTTAATTAAAATTTCTCGAGCGTGTGGATATCAAAGCAGTTGACTCCTAAGTGGAACACATTTCTTTGGTGATATCTTACCGCCTATTACTACTCTTTCTTTTCATTTAGCATACTGACAACCACTAACAGGTTTGCTCTATATTTTTGACGTAATTTAAAAGGAGTTCATTCACATATCCAATACCGTCCTGATTTAATTTGTGGGGAAAAGTACCAAATTAAATTAACAAAGATAAGCAGGTTTTTGTTTAAGTAGCGCATAATGCTCGAGTGCAACCACAATTATCTCTGTAAAAAAATATGCCAGCCAAAGAAACGCAAAAAAAAAAGATTTTCGGAACGGTTGGGTTCTACGCATAATGAGGTGTTTTTAATCAACCACCCAAAACAATTTTGGCAACGAACGCGTCAATTACTACTTGGCGGTGTCGCTCATGTTGTAATTCACCTTCAAATTAAATTCAACAAATCAAATTTGAGCACCAATTTTTCGTTTTTTTTGTAGATTGAGAATTAATATCTTACGAAATACCACCAAAATCGTGCGTTTAAACGAATTGCCATCCATACGAAGAACTAATACAACGGCAAAGCAAATGTTAACTTTGTACCTTGTAACAATTGCCCCCTTTTGCAAAAAGCGGGAAAAACGACCTAACTTTATATTTTAAAAGCAATTTCAAAGCAACAACAAGACTGTTTGTATCATAGCGAAGCCCTGAATGTTCCCACTGTCTTTTAAGAATTATGGAGCAGTAATAACAGTAAAAATTTGATGTAAAAAAATGAAAAAAATTTTTTCTCTAAAATTTGAATTTTTTATGAAAATCATCCCCCTACACGCCATATAAAGTACAAAAATATAGATTCCGCTCCTTGTTACAAATCAATTATGGCAAATAAGCTTCTTTCAACCAATTTGGAACGATTTCTAAGACGGATTAACTCTCCGCTTCCGCGTTAATAGTGCGAAATATATCGCGCGTTAATTGTCCCCATTTAGCCAAAATGGCAATCTTTAAACCCCCATAACTTTACAAAAAAGGATCGCAGGTGAAATATCTTTTCAAATTTGAGCTCATGACAACAATACCTTTTGAATGTTACAAAAAAATTTCGTCAAAAATGACTAGTTAAAAAATCGAATTTTATCTGAAGAAAAAAAAACGTCGGAACAATAATCAAGAAAAAATTCTGAGAACGCCATCAATTGATGTTAATTTTTTCGCTGAAATTGTGCTGCTATTTTATTTTATTATAACAAATAAGTTTGTTTACCAAAAATTACCTACAATTGGTTGGTTGTTTTGAGTTTGGCAGAAGCGCCCTCAACAAAACATCGCTGAAAAAAGTAAACACATGTTTTTATCCGATAGAATCAGGTGCCTCAAGCTACCCGGGTTGACCAAAACTGCTTGTCATACAATTTTCATGACTAGAAAATTGCTATTATATAACTTCACATAATTCTTTAGGTAAAAAAATTCTGTAAAAATTATATATGAAATTTTTTTTATTGGTCTCGAATAGTTTTTGCAAAAAAAAAATATTGGCTAAGCTATTCAGGCTGACAATATCAAATTTTAAGTAATTAAATTTGAGTTGTGTAAGGAAATAATGAAACCAATTAGCTGCCTCAATTCATTTTGGAACAATTTTGTAGCGCGGGATATTTCGTCATGATGTAAATTATAAAACGAGCAGTTCAGGCAGAAGTGCGGGAGGTTACTATAGTGGTGAGCACACCCGTCAGGGCGTATACAGATCAGGAAAACGATCCCCCGAATGACCAGAATTTTGAAAAAAAAATTGGTCTGAACAAAAAAACAACCCGAGCACATAAAAGTCCCACTTTCTTTGAAAGTCGGAACAAAAACCAACAGTTTTCACATATAATAAAATCATAGTTTACAAGCAAAAATCACAGAGGTTAATTGCATTCCAAAATTTGCCATATGATTAAATATGTCGCCTTTCTCACAGTCCTACTTAAAGTTTAAGGTATACAGCTGAGAGATTGATTTTTATGAGTTGAAAACTGTATCCTCTCTTCGACATTTGTCGGTTTATCTTATCATTCAAAAACAAAAAAAAATTCTGGCAATTAAAGTATTCATTTTAGATTGTGTTTTTTGTGTGTGCCAAAATACAATCTGAACAAATTATAGACTACATAAAACAAAAAATTAATGTACAATGTAAAAACGCATACCAAACATTTTTTTCACGAACAAAAATAGAATTAGCATACAATACATAAACGTCAGGTATTGAATATGATAATTGTGTTTCTCCTATAAATTTTAATGATAAAAGTTTTCGTGCCAATCCCGGTAATGTTGGATCAAATTTTTACAGAGGTTCATGAACTATTTGTGTTATAGACAAACTTAGCGCATTGAGTATAAAGTGAACACGATTTCTCGTGTTAAGGCAAAGCCCTGAATGTTACCTCTGACGTTTAGCCTCTATGACGTATTGTTTACTTTTTAACAATATTGAAAATTCTTACGTTTTTTTCTCAAAAACTATCCCCTCCTTACGCTATGAAGAATAAAAGAAATAGGTAGAGCAAATATCATGCGTCTAATCAAATTGTGACGATTTGTGGGACGGATTGAATTTCCATCTACGCGTTAGCCCCCATACTTATATGAAATTTTATCACATGTGAAATATTTTTATTCCGACTTTCGATACGAAAGTAACGGAATATTTGTGCTCGGGGTGGGTTTTTTTTTCTTCAGACAAATTTCGACTATTTAACTAGCCATTTTTGACGGAATTTTTTTTCATTTCATTCGAAAGCCATTGTTGTCCTGAGCTTAAATTTGAAAAGATATTTTACCTGTGATCATTTTTGTAAAGTAATGAGGGTTTAAAGATTGCCATTTTGGCCATTTTGACCAATTTGGGACAATTAACGCGCGATATAATTCGCGCTATTAACGCGTAAGCGGAGATTTAATCCGTCTCATAAATCGTTCCAAATTGGTTGAATCAAGCTTATTTGCCATAATTTATTTGTTACAAGGAACGAAATCTATCTTTTTGTATTTTATATGGCGTGTGCGAGGATGAAATTTCATAAAAAAATTTCAAATTTTAGAAAAAAAAATTTCATTTTATTTTTTTTTCATTTAAATTTTTATGTTATTACTGCTGCTCCATAAACCTTAAAAGGCAGTCGGAACATTCAGCGCTTTGCCCTGATATGAGCAGTCTTGTCTAATTTGAGTTCAGCACTGCAAAACTTTTTATTGGTATGAAAAAACCGTAAAATCCGAATGCAAAACTGTAAAAACCGTAAAACCAGAAAAACTTTTCAATTAAACAATCGAATTTTGTCTAGAAGAAAAAATTACCCGGCCACAATTATTCTGTCACATTCTTCGAAAAATGAAAGCATATTATTTTTTTTGCAAGTAGAACGTCTTAATGCAACTATTTTTGTTTTTCGAGAGGCTATTTACTAAGTAGCCATTGTTGATTTGAAGGTACACTTACTTACAATCACTAGTGGAGTTCTGAGACAAAAATCAATGTTGACAACAATATCTTTTTCAATTAATTCACGTACCTCAAGTTAATGTCAGATAGAATTGAGTTACAAATATGATGCACTATCCCAGTTTAAAAACTTCCCCAGGTCCCTGCAACATTTTTAGTCCCATTTCAAATAACGTCTATATGCTTGAATCCTAAGATGTTAAGCTTTTGTTTTGCTCCATTCGTTTAAATCACAACAATTAAATATTGAAGCAGATATCACATAACAGTTTAGACATTAGATCACAAAAATGAACACATTTTTTGAATAATTTTTCTGTTCGCCTGATCGCGATTATTTCTGATACAATTACAAAAGCTTAGTACAAAAATTAAGAATAAACAATTTTTAAAAAAACAAGACTGCTCGTATCAGGGCAAACCCCTCAAAATTCCGACTGCCTTTTAACGTTTATAGAGCAGTAATAACATAAACAACTTAAAAAAATTAAATGAAATAAAATAAAATGAATTTTTTTTTCTAAAATTTGAAAAAAATTTTATGAAAATCATCTCCCCACACGCCATATAAAGTTCAAAGCAATAATTTCGCTCCTTGTAACAAATCAATTATGGCAAATAAGCTGCTTCTTTCAACCAATTTGGAAAGATTTCTAAGACGGCTTAAATCTCCGCTTACGCGTTAATAGTGGCAATCTTTAATAATGGCAATCTTTAAACCCTCATAACTGTCGAAAAATGATCACAGGTGAAATATCTTTTCAAATTTAAGCTCAAGACAACAATAGCTTTCGATTGATTTTAAAAAATTCCGTCAAAAATGGCTAGTTAAAAAGTCGAAATTTGTCAGAAGAAAAAAAAACCCACCCCGATCACAAATATTCCGTTACTTTCGTATCAAAAGTCGGAACAATAATAACAAGTTTTCCGACCGCAACAATTTCTGTTTCTTGACCAAAGTACTTTTTTTGTTTCAGATAGATTTGAGCAGTGGTGGTTTTAGGGGGAAGGGGGGGTCGGTCACCTTTCGCTCACAAAGATTCGACTCCCTGCCGACCCAAAGGGTCCCCTTTTGAGATATCCATGTTTGGCTGACGGACTCTAGAATTTTTCTCAGGCGCCTTTGACGCCAAAATATATATATTTTTAAATGCCTAAAAACTTTTTTTTGCCTGTTTTTTCAAATTCGTAGTTTGGGCCATTCGCGGCAACAAAAATCCCGTTAAACCAATTTATAGCCGATTGAACTCTTGAAGAAGGTAAGAAAATGCACATATATTACTCAATTGAATTATGTGATAAATGTGCATTTTCTTACCTTTTTCAAGAGTTCAATCGGCCGCAAATTGCTTCAACAGGATTTTTTTGCCGCGAATTACCCAAACAACGACACAATGAGTTCACCACAAATTATTCCTCCTCCTTGTTGTTCAGGAATATCTTAAATAATGAAAACGATCGGTCATAAAAATTTATGACAGTTTTTTCTTTTTCCTTTTTTGTACGAGTGAACGTATTTGAAAAGCATCGAATTCCACGCAAAATCTCCCCTTCCCCCTTGCTTACGGAGGTCGTGGAGTTTGATCGCTTGATGTAATCAATTTATTTCTTCGGAAACT